TTTCTATTTATTTCTATTTATAACACGGAGAGACTTTTTGGTTTAATAGCATCATTATAATACAGGTGTGTAGGAGGTTAAAAGCTGCCGCCGAGGGGTCTGAAGATAACGACGCAGCTATGTTTGCCGCACGCTCGGGTAGCAGAAATAGGAGCTGAGTTTTCTGCGAAGGTTGGTACAACAGGTGGGCGGAAGAGCAAAAACTGAAAATGCCGCTAAACCGGCAATAAGACAAAAAAAAAAACCCCTGTTTCAAACCTCCTAGCTTTTACAGATCTCAGTGACTACTAACTGAGGCTGAACTTGATTGCCCCGTGCAGGAATCTGTTACGCTCGCAACCTGGGGGTCTCGCGCCAATCTCAACGTATTCCAGCTGTGTGCCCCCCACAGCAGACGGGCTTTGTGCAGAAACTAGTGCAAGTTCCCAGTGTTGCCGGTCAGGTTTCTTTCAGCATCGGCTGAAGGACAGTAAATCATCCCCAGCTTTTGCATGCCTCCCCTGCTCAGTTTTCAAGCTGAAGCAGCTGGTCAAGTAACCCTCCTGGCTGAGATCTTAAAAAAGCGATTTAAGGTAAAGCAACTGCTACAGGGAGACACTTTACGTGGGCTGCCCTTACGCAGGAGAACAGGGAAGGAAAAGCAAAGGCCCGCTTACAGGACTGACATGATTTTACTTGCTTGTTTAGTAACAGCTCAGTGTCTTCTTTCCATAGAAACGCTTCTCTATTCAAAGAAGTGATTACCTGGCTCGATATCACACTTGCTTCTCTCAGTGCCTGCTGGTTTGCTGTTTGCGAAGATGCAATTTGCCCTTGAAGTTGAGGACTGGGGACAAGCTGCTGCTGAGAAATGGCCCCTGACCTCTGCTGTAGCTGTTGTGGCTCCGGCTGCGGAGTATTGCCAAAGCTCAGGGACACCGTCGGCTGCTGTAGGAACATCTGGAAAAGAAGGGGGAGACTTTATTTACAGAGCCCAGCTGTATTGGATAATGAAGGTGACAGAATTAAATCCAAAGATACATTCTAAAATAAAGTCATCACGTTTCTGGATTCAGTATGCCTTTACTGTTACTTGGAAATCACCTCTCTTTCCTACATTAACAGTTCCGCTCTTTCTAGTTTCTTGATTTCTTGTTCTGCAAGTGCACTCGCGAAATGCGTCCTGAGGGTACAAGTCCTCTCTCCATGGAGCAGGCACAGTCCTCGTCAGAGCAGTTCCCTGTGCATCACCATGTTCTGGGGCATCCTGACCAGAGACAAGAGAGTAACTCCGTGTCTTTTCAGCCTTTTCGTTTCCCCTTTCAACAAAACCGGCCTGCCTTTCAGACAGGGCTGCTTTTGAATTTGTCCCTGGAAATTCAACACCTTACATACAGTTGGGTTGTCGAATGTTTTTAATGAGGCCACAGTCAGGCCAGAGCTGTCCGTGTTGAATGGCCGTGTGGTTATCATTGAGAAGATGTGTAAACAGACAGTCGCTGTCATTTATCTGATTCCCCATCAGGTAATTGTCACCCGGCGTTCTTCCTAACCGTGCCAGACCTTTGACTTGTGCCAAAGAGCTAGCAGCTCCTCTGTCAGTGTTTCTGAAACCGATATACTCTCCATGCCTGCATTGCAAGATGAGGCTTTTGTCTTTAAAAGTTGTAGGGCTTGGGAATTTTTGCTTTTTTAGGGGCTATTTCTTTTATTATAGCTGTACAGAGGGAAAAGGCATCTTTTAAAACTATGAATTATTAATGCTACAAGCTATCTTTGCAATATTTCAACCCTAGCCTCTCGCCACCAAGGACTGTATGGAGGTACGCATCCCAGGTAGTTGAAGGCTTTTTTGGATCTGATTCTGATTGCACACCACTGCTACACGTGTGGAACTCCATTAATGTAAGTGGAGCTACTTAGGGTTTAAATGAAATCAGAATCACAATTATTCTCTTCATTATTCATCCATCAGTCTCATGCCTAGCAGCACATCTGAGGTACGCCCAGTAATTAGTACACCTTTCTGCAGCTTATTGCTATATTAACAATTCCCTAAACTATCATGTCCCCTCTAATTTTTCTTGGAAAAAACCCATACCTTTCTCCAAAGGACTAGAAAAATGCATTGCTTTTCTTTGCAGAAGTATGGGTTGATCCATCATATTTGTACTTATTTATGTAGCTTTTAAAACATAGTTTTTATTTAAATATGATAAATTTTTAATGAATTTCCGTGTGCCAAGATTTTACTCAGAAAAAAAGTACAGACAAAGCTTACATTAATCAGCTGAGAGAGGGGGGCAATTAATGAAAATGTTAATGAACCTAAAGCAACGGCTTGTTTCAGGTGCTGTAGGCTAACCACATCTCAAAGACGTCTGATAGAAATAAATGGGTCAAGTAACAGAGCTGGGCCTGCTCACAGCAGGTCTGAAACTAGCTCTGAGTGTTTTCTTTTAAAAACACTGCTCACTGAGTTTGGAGCCATTACATATCAGAAAGACAGATGGTCTTGCAACTTCTGCCAAGTAAATAGGTCTTATTATGAATAAATCAATACAGAAATTATGAAAATTCATTTTCTTGTTTATTTTCTGTATATAGAAGCTAAGCTTTGGACATGTTTGGTAAATTAACTCACTTGATTAGCTCTAGCAGTGAAACTGGTCGCCATTGATATAAAATTCGGTATAAAACATTTGATAAGAAATTCAGAACAGGTAAGGCAAGTGCTGTGTTTCAAAAATGTGATGGGGAGTGTAAGCCCACCGGTACTGGCCAGATCACCACAAATTAACACCTTTAGGAGGATTATTTTAAGCGTCCTCCCTGTACGTGGCGCACAGTGCCGGAGAAATCCTAAGTTCATCCAATGCAAAGCCAACATCTGTCGATGCGAATGTCAGGCAGGGTGTGAACTTGCTGCAGATGACTTACTATGCTGCCTGTGTGCATGCCTTACTTCCAGATGAAGGCCAGGGAGTTTATCCTTAGAAGAAAGCAGAGTAACCTACTTTGCAGTTACCAGAGTGTGCCACTGGGTAGGAACGTGCACGGTTAATGGTTGGCAGCTAACACGCTATAAATTTACAACCAGGTTTATCCCACTAAACCAGTTTTGTTTGTTCACGTGTTTGTACCCTGAGAGGGCTCTGAATGTTTCATACCTAGGGACCCTCTCTTGCATTATAATGGCAAAAGCAGCATTATTACCATCTGAACATAAATGTCCCGGAAAAAACAAGCTCAGGGCAGGAAGCGATAGTGCCATTTAACCCGTGTCCCCGCAGAACTGGAAGACTCAAGATGCCTCATCAAAACAAGAGTTGACCTGAGAGAAGATCGAAGCGTGGCCTTTCTACCTGCTAGTTAAGCCTAAAAGCAAGAACATGCTTCATTTGTACAAAACTTACTGGTGTTTTTTCATAATGTGCCTCTTTTGTGATAGTCCTGCCTGAATTCCCCTGAAACACTGAAATATGGCAGCTTTAAATAACAACAGAAAGCCCGTAATAAAGACTGAAATCTGTCCCAGTCTGAGCAAATCATAGTAGATAAATTAGCAGCCCCCTAACTGCACTGCTGCTAATGACATGTCTCGTGGCTGATTTTGCGGACTGCAAGGTCAGTGAAGCATCTTACAAATATTTTTTAATTGGCCAGCTTGTTAACATACACAGCAAAGCAGTGAGGGAGGGGAGGGACCCTCTGACACCGCTGCCCCCGCATTCCGAGATGGATGGTCCCTACAGCTAATGGATGAATCACATTGGCAAGACGTCGTGAGGAAAATGGCTCTTTGACTCTACCTGTCCTTTGGATAATCAGGGGATTATAGCCTTTGGGCTCATCATTACAGACATCAAGACTCTTTCTTTATGTAAAATACAGAAAGATGAGAAGCACAGCACTGGGAAGCTGAGATTCACTGACTTCGAAGGGAGCCTGGTTTGCAAATGATGGGTGGCTGTGGACGGTCTCGTTTGTAGTTCTTGCAGGCTGATCGGGCTGAGCCCTTCTGCCTTCCTCCCCATCCGCAATTCATTAGTTAGACTTCTCAAATCTGGAGCAGACACAGCATCCTTCAGACTTCTGAGGTTACTCTTGCTGCTCCTGTCCTTCATACTTTTCGTTTGTCAGGAAAAGCAGTAACAGGAATTTAAAGGAGTTTTGAACACTTTTGTTCAGGGCCCACAACCCTCTTTCTAGTTTCAGCTTTCATCGCACAACGCTCTTGGAAATAGTTTCTAATGCAAGACTACCGTGCTCAACATCTGTCCAGTTGGGAAAGCATTTCTTGGTGGATTGCCGTACTGCAGTTTTGAAGATCTCTGAAGGAAGCGGAAGGAAGGAAGATCTCTAAAGGAGGCTTAATTCTCCGCAGAGCTACCTGTACACTTCTGTGTGGAATGGAGTGAACCAGTGGGGAAGATATGCTAATAAATCAGCTAACGAGGGAAAACCGGAGAACACTTCCCCCTTTTCAGACAGCCTACAGCACTCCCCCATGCTTACAGCTCTTCTACGCAGAATATTAAAGAGACCAGAAATGTGCTTGATAGTAATGCTTGCCTGTTTGCTACCATGCTTTGTAGCTCTGATAATAGACACAGATCGATGTCTGCAGACACCCAGCTCTCTGAATGATGAAATCTGTGCAGCAAAGCACGTGGTTGGATTTCTGATTTAACAGTTTACTCCTCACTGCTTGCGAGTTACAGAAGTGCTGGATGCAAAAATGTGAGGCTTTCTTTTAAATTGCCCCTAGCCAAACAAGACAAAGCTAATTCCTGGTCTCACTCTATCCCTATAACAGCACAGTAATTTCTTTGGGGTTTTTTAACTTGGAGAAAGTGGGAATAGGAAAAGGCCCTGGCTATGAGTCAGTGTGACCGCTCACATCTCATCGCATTGTTAGATTGCTCTGAGGAGACTGAAAGGCACCCGAACTACAGAGGATGACCCTCCCCGTCCAGCATTGCCCCTTCAGGCAGATACGCAGCCCCTGCATTTCTGAGCTGCCCTCCAGTCCCCCCGCCTCTCAGTTCTGCATCTGCAGTAAGCTGGGAAATGGTCAGCACTAACATCAGAGAACTTGTACTGGTCTGAAAATATATTTCTCTTGGTCCAGCCTGGTACAGTCTTTGTGGGGGAGAGGATCACCCAAATGGTATAACTCAGAGCTGCAAACTGGTATGGGGTGGGCAGTACAGAACCACCCACCATTTACCCACTGGGCCTCCTCTTCTCTCTGCTTGAGCTCCCTATGAGCACATCTGAGAATCTGTCCCACGGTCTTTGGGTTATTAAATGCACCATAGTGCATATGGGAGACAGCTATGTAAAAATAAAATCCATTTCCTGCCTATAAGAATGTGCTCTGATCTTCTATTTTTGCCTGAATTATGCAAAAAAAAAAAAAAAAAAAAAGGATGAGTGTATGTAACTATTGAAGACTTCACCAGGAGGGAGTAATGGTTTTCACCCAATTAAAAAGAGAGGAAGTGAGAATATCACATCTCTTGATATTCATAATAACAATAATAGCTTTCAGACATACGACGTGATTCTGAACTGAAGGCCAGTTAATTGCAGAGAGATTTTCCCTTCCTGTTAATCAAAGTCAGTGCAGAACCAAGAGAAGAAATGCACTGAAGTTAAACCTGGTCTACCTATATGCTTATATTGCACCAGGAACAGAGGTTCCTGGTTTTGGGACCCACCATTGCTCTGCTGTCTTACAGCTGCACACATGCAGCAACTTAGGTGGCAAAGTTTCTGATTTGGCTTCACTGGTCCCTTAATTGCCTAAACATACAATGCCAGTTTGTTTTAATATGTGAAACTGCATTTCACAGATGCTGATGAAGGGTGAGAGTCTATTTCTGTGGAAGTTGGGAGCAAAATTCCTGCTGACTTCAGCAGGTCCCAGGTTTTCATCCTGTGCTTTGAGACATTTGTTTCTGTGACAGAGCTTGTCTTCTAAAAAAATCTTATTACTACAATACTCACAGTGGGTCCCCAATGCAACATTTCTAGAAAGGGCCACTTAACCTGGCATTTATAGTTAAATTATGAGGAACATAGCAGTAGTCACCCTGTGTTCAGAAAACTTCCATGAAACTGGATGATTTGTCAATTTGTCATTAAGTGAAACCTGCAATGTACTGAGCTGCACTTGCTGTTATTTCTGAGGTTTGGTAGACATAAGGCATGGTACAAAGCAGATACTGTACTTGATGAATTAAAAGCAGATACTGTACTTGGTAAATTAAAAGCAGATACTGTACTTAGTGAATTCTAGCTTTGTGTAGGAGGTATCAAAAGCAGAAGAAGAGTAGGCTCCCTCAGCTTCACCTTAAAGGCTTAAGCTGGTCCAGTGAGGAACAAATTCAGACACCTCCCAGGTGTGAACAAATGAACTTCAGCAGAGGTTTGGGTTTTTTTAATGTGACAAGGAAATTAATCTCTTGTGCTCTGTATCCAGGCTGGGGTAGGGTCAGGAAAATAGGGAGCGAATGAAAGAGATGGGCACTGCCTGAAGGAGGGCTCTGGGCTAAGGAAGAGCTGGACGGACAAGACACTGAGCACGAGTGGTGCCCACATGAAGCAAGCAGTGACTGGATGGAAGCTAACGCACTGGAGAGACATAATCATTGCCAAGTCTGAACTTGAACACTTTTCTATTACAGCTGCTCAGTCTGAAGACTCAGTAGATAAAGTTTAAAAATGCTACTGTAAATGACCCAAATTCTTCTCCTTCTCCCCCTAAGGTTGAGATATTTCTTCCTTCTTTTCTTCCAGAGAGCTCTTAAATCTTTCTTGACATAGGTTACTCAAGAGGCTTTCAGAGGGCAACATCTTCATTCAGATGAGCTGGTTTCCACATGTCCAGATTTCCTGGACCCTGGAGCTAATTTTAAGTTGCCAGCCCTATCAACGACCGCGCGAGAGAGGATGCTCTGCTCTGCCCCTGCCAGGAGTAATGCACCTGTACGCTGGAGTCCTGGACCAGGCAGAGCTGCTCCTGTATCTTCTGGAGCTCCTCCTGCTGCCACCGGATGTTGGCCTGCAGGATCCGGGTGCGCTGCTCTAGCTGGTCCTTGATGGTCTGGAACATGCTGAACTGTGCCGAGAACTGAAAAAAACGGGGAAAATCAGTCATTATCATACAAACAGGCCTCAATAGAACATTGTTCTGTAAGAAGGTATTGTTTTCTTGATTGTAAAGCACAGCCACAGGAATAAAAGACGTGTTTGTAATATAGTAACATCTAGGCAGAGATAAATCTTGTCTGTTTTCAATTTTGCACACATATATTAAATTGCCTCGGTTAGAGCGATCTGCTTACAACTGACCCTGTTCTGTTAGGGAATTATCAGAAGGACTGTTTTTGAGAGTATGCTACTTCAGAGTATCAAGAGCATCTTAACTGGATGGCAAATGAGTGCATTATTTTTATTAGCCTGTAGTCTGGAGCCCTTAGTGTGGCATAACTGTATATTCTGGGCATGGTTTACTAATGCTTTCCTTTTTCCGCACAGAAATAGCAGTGCTTCAATGGTTTATTCTGCTGATGACTTACTATAGCATCATGCAACAGCTGACCACAATAAACATTTTCTAGATTTCTACAGCTCAGTAGTAGTCAAGCTACAAGAAATACTCATTAAGTTATTTTTTTACATGACTAGCTCGGCTCAGTGGGAGAAAGGCTATTCTAAATAATAATATAAAATGGAGATCACTACTCAGGGTCAAGAAGTGCAACCTCCAGTAGCAGCAATACTTGGCACAAAGTGGAATCATTCAAGAGGCACGGAGGCGACCAACACAGCAATATATCCCTAGTTTTATTTGGTGTTTTCAGGTATGATTCAAAGTCCACCAAAGTTAATTATTACTTTAATAGGTTTTGGAATAGTTACTTTACATGAGCTCATATTCCAAAAGTTAAAAACAGTCTTTGGAAAAAAAAAACACTTCAGATTTGTATCAGCTAACTGCTTTGCCTTAAACCAGCTAAATATGTGAAATGCCTTCACATTCCCTCCAGCAAAGCTGAAATCTCCAAGTAAATGGCCTTTAGGTGAGAAAGGACAAGAACTTCAGAGGGTTTATTTCTATTTACCAGGCGGAGGGCGGCTTTCCCACACAATCTGGGAGGTCACTGCTCAAAGAGTGGTGGCAATGTGGAGGGGAGTTTCATGGCCAGCCCTGCTTGGGGGGAAGGAGGGCTGCTAAGGTGGCCCATGCAGTTGCTGCTGGCAGAGACCCTCAGAGCCCGCTTTGGTGGCAGAGGCATCTGCGAGTGCTTGCAGCTTGCACCGCCTGACCAAGGAGATAATGTGAGCACTTGGCCTCCGGCGCCGTGATCCACGGCGCTTTTCCCTTCAAACAGCAGCACTATCATCTGCAACCCGGTCCTCCCCCCGAGCAGAAGAATGGTGTCGAAGCTCCCAAAGGGAAGTTTGTGTTACCTCTAATTGGCATTAAAGGGGAGAAGTCAGAGCAGGGTCTCTCTTTTTTCCTAGTCCACGTATAAAGTATTAACCCAAGGAATGGACGAGTGGAAACCTCTGATGTTTGGGAACAAGGACAAGCGACAAAAAGGGGCGTCCGGTGCTGCTTATTCTAGTCTGAATGGGGACCTGAAGAGTCCCAGGTACCCTGATTTTAGGAGCGGAATGATGCTATGTAGCAACAGCTTGCCTAGATGAGATGCAGCTAATTCCTGCTTTAATTCCTTCTGTCTGTACAGAAGGATTTTTTAAAAAGCCAAGTCTCGCAACCTAATTCTCTCTATAAGATCTCTGTTAGTGAGGACTACTCTTAAGTCTTTCAAAGGATCCTCATGAGAAAGGAATTAAAAACAATTTTAGCCAAAAGCTTCATTTTAACTGCCTGGCTGGCTGATGGCAGACTTTCCATTAACGTGCAAACTCCTTGAAGACACTTTGGGAAAGGAACCTGATTTTCTTCAATTAATGAATGTAAGGAATTTTATAACAGATAATTTTATAATCATTTTATACTTCAACAAGAAACAAAAATCCATTTCCAGGCCTTAGTTTTGATTTTGAATTTGCTTTGCAAAGTTGCACACAAAAAATATATTGCTGTTGATTTTAAATTATTATTCCTTAATTTTTTTCCAGCGCCTTCTTATATTTAGCATATTCATCTAGTATTGTCTTTTTGTTCTCTTTTTCACGTGCTTTTTGTATTAATACACTTAACAACAACAATTAGCTGGTCTGCTAGAGTAAGAGCCATTACGGAAGAAGACAAGGAACTTTCTCTTTGGTTTTTTTCCCCTTTCCCACTCTAACCCCCAAATTTGTTGATAACTCTAGCCATGACCCCTGTGATTACAGAGCTTCTGTTGTTTTTGTACAATGAGACACTAACAGCAATTGACCTGCACCAGAGAGTATTCATGTCAAGATCATTAACCGCTCTACTAATTAGGGGAGAAATCAGTAATTGTATAATAAATTAAAAGAGCTTAACTCAAAATGTTACACAGAAAACACTGCACAGCTTTAACTCTGCCATTTGCATCAGATGAAGTTGCTGTTTGTCTCACTTGGGTATTTACAAACTTCCGTAAGAGCCTCAGAAAAGTGCATGTTCTATGCAGAAAAGTGCCAGCTTTCCACATACAGTCAAACATGGAAGACTAAACCTGTGAGATATCTACACTTGCAGAGGATCACCAGTTTAATTAAGGTTTGTTAACGCAGAAAAAAATCCCACAGCAATAATTTTAGTCTGGTATCTTAAAAAAAAAAAAAAAAAAAAAGGCTTTTGGGATTGTGTCAGCAGGCATTCAGGTAGGGATGGGCACAATCCACCAGGCTTGATGCACTGACGCTGACGGTCCAGGCAGGCTGTACAGCCCAGGGAGAGGGACCGGCACTTCTGGGCTGTGACTCTTCTCCGCCAGCATGGGCATCTGAAAGAGGCCAGCAGCTGGACCGTGCCCGAGGAAGGGTGTTTCTCTCCACCGGGTGCCAGTGCAGGGTGCCAGGGCTACTCCCTCTCTCTAGGTGCTGCAGGGCTGCATCCAAGGGAGGGAACCTACGGCCTCTGTGTCTGTTGGGATGGTCCCCCATTTCAGATGTGATGAACAAGAAGATGGACACCTCAGAGGCGTTCTGCTCCTACAGGTTTCATGACAATAGGTAGCTGGGTAAAGAAAAGAGACCCTCTTTGGTTTTTAAGCTCAGTTTCCTTTGGATCTTTCTCTTCTTCCTACCTTTCAACTTTCAATCCTTCTGGTCAACACTAGAGACATGCAATAGGGTTGTGAGACTCTCAAAAAATACCAGGTTGTTGTAATTTCATGAAAGATATAGCTGAGCAAAGGAGAGAGGGACCTGCTTGTTGCCCTCCTGCAGGGAAGGCTGGGTCCGTGCCTTGCAAGGCGCAGCCCCTGGGAAACCGTTTTGCAGCTCACCGAACAACTTGTTCGTTCTTTCTGTCTTCTGAATAACACCTGCGCAATCCCAAACGGATTATTAGTGCTAATTATTATTCAGTCATCAACATCCGCTGTGTTGTAGGGGATTTTAATTTATTACAATGAGGAAGGCAAACAAACAAATATTCTAATAGGGAGCACTTGGTTTAAACTAAACCATTTACATTCAGGCGACATCTAGTACTGTGCTGTCTGTTCATTCAGACAAGCAAGGCAGAAGCTAAAACCGCATTTCAGCGGAGACAAAACCATCGCAGCCTTTGTTTGAAATAAAACTAATCAAAGTTCAAGCAGATGGCGCCTGAGGCGGGAGCTAGCTCCTCACTGCAGATGCCGTCGTGGCTGCTTAAAACGTCCTTCGCCCCTGGCTGCTGCCCCGTAGCCAAATGTTAGCCGCAAGGACGCCCATCAGCGCCGGGGCCCTGGGTGGCCAGGCTCGGTGAACGGCCTTTCGGCTCCTGCCATCGGTCACCTTCAGCTGAGGGCGAGCGGCAGAAAGGCAGTGGGGAGCAACCTGTGCAGCTCCTTCTCATCGGCTGGCAGCGGGGCGCCCAGCCATGCTGTTTCTGAAAGTGATGAGCTTGTGTTCTGCCCCCAGACTGCTGCGAAATGGTCAACTAGGAAACAGAGGGAATGCTTGTGGGAAGCACGCGTACCTGGGTTTCATCCTCGCTCGCTTAGCGCTGCGGGCCCCTTGTCTTTTCAATAATGGATTATCTTGCTGCAGGCTGCCGTGTTTATTATTTTAAGGTGGGAAGTACAGAATAGTTTCATAATTTTCATAATTGTTTATGAAAATCGCCCAACTCTCTGAATATTTGCTACACTTCCCAGGAGTATATCGCTACGGGGTGTGAGCCTCGGCAACCTGAGCTGCAGCATCCCGGTGCTATTTCCCAGCTCCACATCAAGGGAAGCTCCATCTTGAGCTTCGCCAGGCGCATTGCTGTGACTTTGCTGCCAGTCGAGAAGGGGGCTGCCAGAGGGCTGCCTGTGTAGACAGACTTGAGTCAGCCCTCTTCCTTTCACCGAGATTTAGCCAGCCCAAAGAGGCTGAACCAGTGGCCGTGCGACTGGACGGCGCTCCGATTTGGCGGAGAAGAAATGGAGCTGGCGTGCCAGTAAGAGCACTGGGAAGGGTGAGGCAGCGGGGCTCTCAGTAAAGGACCAGAAAGCATCTTTTTGCAAAGAGCTTCGATGGAGAAGAAAGGGAGGTAGAAAAAAGTCAAACAAAACACACATGGGTTTATAATAAATAAACTAATTGATGTTTGGAAGTGCATTAATGAATAACGGAGAGAAATATCTGTAAAAGAAAATGAATGCTTGGAGCAGATAATTGATATGCTGTTTCTTCGCTGCATGCTGGTGTGGAGTCGTGAAAAGAATATTAAACATAGAAGATAAATGAGAATTTGTTATTTTAAAGCAGGGTTCCTCAGGACTTTATATGTTTTATATGCTACAGGAAGAAACTCTGGGATCTTGTGAGGGAGTACAGGGTAGCCATAGTAGAAGCAGCCTAGGTCCAGGACTACTCTGTCATTTCTAAAATCGGAGGATGATGGGGTGTATCATCACTGAACGACCACAGGAGAGAAACAGTGTGATGGGGTCACGGTACTCAAATTTACTCCTTCAAAATCCACTGTAGATGAAACACCGAGGTGGCTTTTTGGGCCGCCACCTGCTTTTGAGTTATGGGTTAATAGATTTCCCTGGAGGAATTTGTCTCCAGTGGCATCCTCACCATTACTGGCACACTCACAAAATGGATTTTGTTGAACTTGCATGTCCTGTACTTCTGGTTAGTTCTGCATCAGCACAGCCAAACAGGTGTTTTCAGGAGGACTGGGTGTCTTTGTTAGTTTTTTGGGTTTAATTCTCATTGTGACTTTGATTTTGATGGGACCTGATTCTGTAGAAGCAAAGCTGAAAACTCTTTTTCCATCTGTTTTTTGTTCTCCTGTGAAATAGATGTGTGTGCGCCCCTGAACCTACATGCACCTGGGCTTCTGCTCTGTATGTCTGTATGCAGATGTATGTTCAAACACACAAGTGTACAATTCAGATTACTTTCCCACAATATTTTAAGCGTTCGAGAGCTGGTGGGTTTGGGGATTTTAGCTACTAAAGAGGTAACCTAAAAGCCCCCAAAGAAGAAAATATCAGGAGATAGGAAAGTGACCTGTTCCACTTCCAAATTCCCAACTAACCTGTGCCAGAGGTGCAGGCTGATTTTGCAGAGTTGCTTGAGGAAGCAGCTGCTGTGGGAGAAGCTCACATGAAGGCTGAGAAGGCAGAGAAACCTGGGTTAAAAACAAAACAAAACAAAACAAAACTTTATGTATTGGTTTATATGGCTCCTTTAAATTTTAGGTTTCTTCTAATGCCATGGCTTCTGTGTAAGTAATTTTTAATGGCTAAGCTGCATATGTGGCACATGCTTTATACTGTCTGCCTATTTTGATGACTCTTTGTGAAGTTACCTGAAGAGCAGTAGGTTGACTGAGTCTATGCACGGATAAATCCTGCTGCGTGCTCGGTGTTCTTGGCAAGGGAGTGTTAGACTCTGCAATCAGCTTTGTTGGTGTAGCTGCAAGAAAAGTACTGGTGAGTTCTCACATGCTGGAAATCATCCCTGTTTGAAGTGGGAATTACAATGAGACCTGGCTAGAAATGATTATGGCCTGGCTAAATTCCAGCGGGAATCAAGGCTGTTCTTGTTGACTTCAGTAGCAGTAAAATTAAACTGATAAGGAGGGCCTGGGCAAAGATAAAAGTAAATGAGACAGATTATGATTCTGTGCTCCAATGAATGGAGCAAAAGGACCCAAGAGCTGTTCTAAAAGAGCTGGAACTCCCCTCATATGGGCCGAATAACTATAAAATTAGGTTAGTTCATTGGCTTTTCTTCCAGACCAGGGAGCAGAAGGCATGTATAAGGTGTTCCCAAGTCTTGGCTGGAGCATCCTGAATCCAGAAGAGAATCACCCACAGGCTGTTATTACTGATGTAAGTCTAGAGGTGCCTTGTATTGCTTATACTGATGCCATCAAATCTGGAGAGAGAAGTCCTCATTTTTGTAACAGATCGAAACAGCAGGCCTCATGGCTAGTCCCGCTACCCATTTTCCAGTGTATGGATGGTTGCACTAGAACCTTCCCTCTTGTACGTTACCATTTCAGATTATGTACTTCATTGTCAGTGACAAACACGTATCATCAGCACCTCATAAATAACTGTTAAGTTAGCAGCTGTGGTATATAGGCACACATTCTGTAACTTGGCTAAATTAAAAATAATGCAAAACCCAGGAATGCCACTCACATGCTGGGTCTGACTTGGGTGTGTGGGAAGATTTTGGTGAGCTCCTGGATGATACTGAGGGTGTCCGACTAGCGCTGAGGATTGAGGCACCAATATCAAGTGCATTAAAGTGCTGTTCAGGATCCAAGCTGGTGCCACTGTCCTAAAACAAACAAAAAAAAGGGAATAGCTATTGCATCTGTCAGGGTGAAAACAATTTGAAATGCATCTAGTAACGGTTGCACACCCAGTTCTTTGGCTGGCCTAACATGACCTGAGCAGAACTAATCCCCAGCAGGCTAGCAGAAGACCTGGGCACAGGTGTCAATATCCCTTCCAAACAGCAGCTAACTACTGCATTTTACAAAGAGCTATCACTGAGTTGGAAATAAATAGCAAGCTACTGCCATAGTAATTTTGTGCCTTCAGATGTTTTTCTGAATCTTTCTTTTGCATTCACTTAGATGTGACAGCAACTTCAACCTCTCTGAGACACTCTGCCGTGCACCAAGGAGGAGCTTTTCTTTCTTCCCTCAGCAGATCACTGAGATGTAGCCAAGAAGGCTGATTGCCAGAACATGTCCAAATGAATCTTTAAACTGTAGTACTTCACCAAGGAAAGGTGCCCCTGCCCATGTTCCACTTAATTTGTGGCTGTTACTGATCTCCAGGTTTATCCTTTCATGAGCTTACCCAATTTACTTTAAAATTATTCAAGTGAGCAATGAATTCTGAAGTTGTGGGCATCCACCCAGAAAGACAATGCTGGAGTCTTCACTGATGTCTTCACTGATAGGAACAAGCTGTGATTACTGCATATATTCATGAAAAAAGCTTTTCTCATTGTACCTTTAGTGCTGAGGACACAACCTCTGAGGACACTTCTTCCAAGCCCATCTCCTGTCTCCTCTCCACCCGAACATCTGCATAACTGAATGGAAAATATAATTCTGTGTATCAACATGGTATTGTTATATTTCATAAAATGTGCTGTAAGCAAGTGGAGGAACAAATTATTGTAACATCTTACAGGTTGAATGAACAGCTGAAAAATCATTTCAGTGAAATGCTATTGAATAACATTTGAGAGACTGTTTTCATTTTAAGGTTTTGCTCTGTTCCTGTCTTCTTGAAGTCAAAAAGTATGTTAAAGAAGTGTATATATAAGGGTCACGTTCACATCCTACAACTACTTTATAACTTCATTGGAAAGCTCCCACACATCTCTTTAAAGGCAACCTAAGGATTAGAGGAAGTGAATAGTTAAGGGATCTGTCTATTCCCCGTTTTTGCACAAAATGGAAAAATGCAACAGTTAATCTGCCCCTAAACTCCTGATTGACAAATCAAGCTTAGCATAAATCATAGAATCATAGAATGCTTTGGGTTGGAAGGGACCTTTAGAGGTCATCCAGCCCAACCCCCCTGCAGCGAGCAGGGACAGCTTTAACCAGATCAGGGTGCTCAGAGCCCCGTCCAACCTGGCCTTGAATGTCTCCAGGGGTGGGGCCCCCACCACCTCTCTGGGCTAGTCTGATCATTTTTTTATAATGAACGTATTTCCTTCAGAGAGTTCAGGCTTCATTTTTGTTACATAAAAGACATCATGTTTCTAAAAGAAAATGTTGACAGTCATGAGGACGTCCTTATCGTACTGTCCTTTATGTCCCCAACGGTTGATAGGAGTTTCCATACCTTACCACCATGTGTGTGCACACAATGAACTCTGGCTTGGAGTTCCACTGGTGGTAGGTGATATAGTAATGGGTCTGGAGCCAGATCCACTGCTGTCCTTTGGTCAGAAACCGGTAGCAGCACGACTTCCCCTTGCCAAACTGCATCACTGTCAGCAGAAAATACACACAGCTTGTAGCACAATTTCCGATGTGAAAATGACATGAAATGTGAAAAGAGTGACAAAAATATCTATGGCCCCATCGATTCCCAAGAGAGACAGGAATACAAGCACCTTTTGAGTGAGTGGTCCTGTCAGTTGTGTGATAGGGCAAATATTAAGATCGGTAGCTATCTTCTTCTGATGCTTTGAACTGTACATTCCTAGACAGTACAATTAACCTTAACTTTGGACACTAATGCATTAATGTCTGCTACAACTTAAACATAGATCTTACCCTGCTTTATGTGCTGATCACACACTGCTTAATTAGGCATCTGGGATTAATTTCTAAGAGTGATCATCTTAAGTTCTATAGCAGAAAAGTACAGGATAAAAATGCTTGAAAAGACGAGTATTCTCTGCAGAATAAAGTGAGTATAGGAGATAACATTGTGCAAAGACAAAAATAATTTGAAACTGAAAGAAAATTCCCAGACTGACAAGAATTCAAAGTGCAGTAAACTGGAGTGTGTTAAAGGTTTTCAAGATTCACCAACAAAATTAATCTCTGCTTTTTTCCCCCAGTGATTTCAAGGGGTTCCCAAATATGCACAGATTTAGCCTTTCTGTATTTCAATGTCAACATACAAAAACTAATGTTGATGGGATATTTTCAGGACACCCAGAGGTAGTAAGCTGAGATGTTCCAGCCAATTCTGTAAACAAATATTTGAAAAGCATTGCCTCATTTTCTTTACTTAGTGAAAGAGTTTTTCAATTAAATCTTAATAGACTATACTTAAATAATCACAGGTAATCCCAAATACACGGTGAACAACATTAGAGTAAATAATCCACCAGAATTTTAGAAAACAGGGTCTCCTCTGAGATTGCTTGAACTATTCCTGTATATTCTTTACTAGTAGAGCAGGTGTCTAATCTGGTGTATTTTATCCATTCAGTGAGTCTTGCTGACGGCTTCTGGGGATACAGAAGGTAAAATTGTATTTTTCAGAGCTTGATAAGTCTGGCCAGACACCGATCAGCTGCGGTGCCCCCAATCTGCTATAACTCTGCTAAGACATACAGGCGTGAGGCAAGGGTCAAATCTCACCTTCCAAGTTTAAACCAATTTTAACTGAAACTACATTTCACTGAAAAAAGGTGTCCCCGTGACTCCACAGGAGCCTGGGCTATGCGATACTTACAGTGTTCGTGGCACCTTGCTAGCAGCTCTAGGTCATCTATATGGTAATAGTCGTAGCCAGAAGTACCCAGCACTTCAAAAGGCAAGTATCCTATAATCGGCGGTGCTCTGCAGTTAGGCACAATATGAGTGAATTCATAAACCATGAAAGAAACAGCAGTTCTGCATGTTGACACGGATATGTAAAAAAGCCCAGATCTGCTCTCGCTCATCAGTGTACAGTCATCCAACCCAGGACTGGATGCTGACTTTCCCCCGCCTTGTGCCTGGGATGCCCGGCTGGGCACAGCACCTTCCCCCCAGGACAAGGCCATGACAACCCCATCTTCCCGGGGAAAATGTGGTTGTGGAAAGCAACTGTCCTGGTTTCGGCTGGGATAGAGTTAATTTTC